ACCAACTCAAAATCTAGTGAACTGTGAAAACTCAGATAAGTCAAATAGGTTGGAGTCTCATTTGTATAAACAAAGCATCATATGGTTTGCTTCGTGCAATCGATCTTGAACATAACTAATAATAAAAAAATCTTAATTTATGTTCATAAAGTTGCATTGAAACACTTAAAAGTAGTAAACTTTTATTAAAATTTATATTTATTATATTTTATAATTTTAATATATTAAATTTATCAATATATATACATAGCCTTAATATAATGAAAAAAAACTGATATTAACAAAATCTTTAATAATATGATGACAATTTTTTTTATATCAAGGATTAAGTTTAAATGTTCTTCATCTCCATTGTGGTGACGTAGCTGATTCTTCATTCCATCTCTACTTTGATTAATTAGTTCCCTTGGTTAGCAAAAGGGTGGGAACATAAACACTTGGGATCAAAATAGGAACCAACTTTTGCCATTGGAACATCTAATTTCTACCTTGATGCTTCATTTTATCTGCTTTATTACGTCAAAATATATTCTGTACCCATTCGCAAAAAGAGTTGAAATGCTCTCTAACTTTGATTCTTCATATTTCATAGGGTCATCACTTTTATTCCTATCTCGTCTCCACTATTATTAGCCAAAAGAATTACAAAGATAAATATAATATTAAACTTAAAATGTTAATTTATTTTTATATTTAATGTTTCTATTTTATTTTATATTTTATTTGTTTATATATATTTCCAAAACCTTAAGTCTGATTTGATTTCATGCAGCATCCAAAACTGTATTCAACATTATAGATCTAGACAAATGAAACTTACAATAGTTCCTCTATTTTGGTTAGCAATTTAATGAACGATTTTTCTAAAATGAATTCAAGAGTATATGTTTGAAGTTAAAATTAATTTTTTTAATTAAAAATAATAATATTTCTTATCTCAAAATCATAAAAATTATTCTATACATATTTTTATAATAGTTCAAAATATTTAATAAAGTATATTTAATTCTTCTGAACACGTACTAAAAAATATATAGTAATTAAATAATCTGTTTAACGAATAAGAGCAGTTTGTTTTAAGGGTTCATGAATTGCTCAAACGTCATTGCCTTTGTTTTGGTTCAAGTTCTCAATCATTGTTAACAGATAATGATTAATAGTAATGTCATATTTGGAGCATAAAAAATTGTGCGTGACCTTATTTATACCCACAATGACACTTAGGATAATGATCTTTAGATGTTTATAACTAAATGTTATGACTCCAGCTTCAGAAGTGGATAGAGCACTGGTGCTGGGTGAGGTTAATTTATACAGATTAGTGATTGATTAGTGTAAAAGCAATCTAATTATATATAATTTCAGAGACATTTGGTGTTAGAATCTTTTGTGGCAAACAGAGAAAAGTGACAGAGACAGATAGAGAGAGTAGTAGTCTGGTCCCCCACTTGCATGGATGTGTGAACTATGACGTATAGTTCCACTAATTAAAAATCCTATTCTTTGATATATGCTTCCTCCTTAGAGTTCTTCTAGATAAGGAAATTGGCACTTCTAGTTCAGGTTAGCTCATATATTTTTAGATGCATAAATAAATACTTGCAGCTGAATAAGAGAGCAATATATGCCAAATCTATAATTGAAGTAGAAAAATTTCGACCCTTTATAAATATATACTGAAATGAGAATAATTACAAGATTGTGATAATATTAAATATGAATTATTAACATTAAAAATTTGATAACGATCACATGACCACTTACAAAAAGTCATGTGTATTATTTTTTTAAAATTTTGACTTTTTAATGTGACCATGGGTTTATTATTTATTTAAGATTACATGAATCCATCCAAGAAATACATCTGAAAGATCATATATTTTGTTTGTGTCCTCTCATCTCCTTAATTCCATTTTAGCAATTGCTATCCGAACTAAGCTTTCTCAAAATCTCGTATGGTCCAGTGTATCACATTTGTTACCTTCTTATTATTCCCCTTCAATATTTCCTTTGCTTCAGTCAGTGTAAGGTTCCCACTTGGAATAAGTGCTTTATAATTTGGCATCTCATGCCCCTGAAGATTGTCGATTCCATATGCATGCTATTTATAAGCTCAGTTGTGTTCATTTTCAAAGCCAACCTATGTTTGATAAATGGTATATATTAGGAACTTCTTTAGGCATCTGGTCAGATGCAACTACATATCAAGTATAGATGCAAATCTTCAACTTAGAAAATGAAAGTTTTTTCATATCTCCTGGCTATACACAATGTTACGTGTAATTAAAGATCTAGGAATACCATTTTGTAAAGTTATGAGCCACATGCTTTCATGCTTTCATGTAGTTAGGATAGGGGCACAAAAGGTGGGTTACGAACCCATGTATCAAAATAATACATGTGTAGATTTTTTTTAAATTATAGATTTAAAGATTAGGTCTTACTTATGCAGACTTTAAAGTACTTTTTCAAATTAATATTAAGAGAGTCTAATATTTAATATAGTAATTTTTCTTTTTTCTTTTTTCTTTTTTCTTTTAGTTTTTTTTGCTTTCCTCTACCAAAAAGCAGCAAATATAGTAAGATGCATTTTATTTTTCCCTAATTTTATTAGCATACCATTAAATATATTCAAATAATACACAATTAGTATATAAGTCAAAGTTTTTACTAATAATTTTTTTAGATAAAAATTATATTAACAAATGTTATCCAATACTTGATAATTTCTTTTAGTAAATGATAATCATTTTAGTGTTTTTTTTTTTTTTATCTTTTATGTATATATACATTTTAAAAATGTGCTCCAAATATAAATTAGGAGACACCTGAAGGTGTCCCTTACTAGTGGTACATGAAATATTTTTCGTAATGAAAAAATGTCTTTTTTTCATATTTACTTTTTCAAAACCTACTTCTATGCTTTTTATTCAGGGTAAATTATACTTACATCTTCTCAGGTTAAATGAAATTTCATCTAATACCCTTGTTTAGGAGAGATTCAAGAAGGTCCAAATCTCACCACCAGCTACCTTCAGTAACCAGTAGCCCAACACCTAAATACAATTGGTGGCCCATTTTGATTTAAACACTTATATGTTTAATGCTCTGTGCATGCATGATCAATTCAAAGGATCATAACCTTGGGGTCATTCATACCACCCTGCTGGACAAGACTCTTCTATAGTTAAATGATGCCACCCTCACCCATTAAGTTACAAATTCTATCACTATACTATTAGTATAAATATTGACTTGAGCATTTGAGACCCTTTATAAGGAACACTGTTATGGTGGGCTCATCAAAGCGATATAAGATCAACCCTTTTTTTAAACCTTACACAATTTTTTTCTTAATTTATCTAACAACATGACACTCTGTACTATCTCGATTACTCAAAACATCCTTGATTTCTTGTGCAATGATATGAATCAAACGGAGGTCAAAGTAATTAAAATAAAAAAGAGTATTGAGAGAATTATTTTAAATCTTAGAAGAATATAGGTAACTTTGTCCTTTATTTATGATAAAACAAGAATTTAAGTATGAAAATAATATATATATATATATATATATATATATATATATATATAAGGAATGTTGTAACGAAAACTTAAGTATGAAAATATCATAGTTAAATTTAATATGTTACTTAGCAGACCTATAGTCGATTTTTTTTTTTTTGTGGAGATGAGATGGTATTAGTCATAAATTAAAATTAAGAGATGAAATTGAATTTTAATTTTTAAAAAATAATTTCGACCCTTTCTTTGAATTCTGTGAAATTCATTCTGATCAGCCCATATTTTTATTGGAGTTATATTATTCATTTAACATTTCTACAATACTTATCACATTTTTTTTTTACCATTTTTCTATGTTACTCATTTCACATTTTTCTCACTCTTCCTTTGTAAACTTAAAAGCAATTATAAAACATATCTTTAAATTTTTATTTAATTTAATAATACAAGTAGATTGAAATAAAACTCTAGTCGATATATTATATTAAATGAAGAATGCTGATTTTTTTCAAATAATTTTGAAATTCAAAATATTTTTATTAGATTATTTGAAGAAACAAAATTCATAGAAATCAACTTAATTTACCTGTATATATAATTTGTGAGTCATAATTCTTAATTAAAATTTAGGATTTTAAATTATTTATAGTTATTTTTAATTTAAAAAATTTACTTTTCTAATTTTATTTAATATAATAAATTTTATTATCAATAATTATAATATACTTATTTTCTAAGTTTATAAAATTTATTCATTTAAAAAATTATAATATAATATACATTTCATTTTTTATTTAAAATTTAATAATACCATGATGTACACGCACTGCAAACTATTGCCTATATTAATGACATATGGCCTTCAGTATCATTTAACAAAACTTATGCTGGAATTCTTTTTCTCTTAGAAGAAGTTAAGTCAAACAAATTTTTGAAAAAGATACTTTTAGAAGCAATTTTTTAATGAAGAAAATATGAAAGAAAAACGTAAAAGAAAATAAGATTAACTTTTTCAAACACAAATTATAGTAATAAGTACTAAGGTCTTTTCTTTTCTATGAGCACCATATCAAAGCATTGAACGTGTGAATCAAACATTGAACGTGTATTCACACGTTCAATTGGTCAAATTTGAAGGAAACAAATCATTTGATAAATGTCAAGTAAGAAAAATCTGTTTTTCTCCCCTCCTTCCTTGTTCTTTCTATGTTTCTTCGTTGCTTGTCAATATATGTGTGCTACGTGAATCTTCCAACACTAAGTCAACCCAAGAACCTCACATATTTCCCCTTATATAATGACATCTCGGGCACTGATTTGACAAAAGTTCAATTTCCTAAAACCAAAAAATGAATGCCATGAAACTTTTTGGTTACTTTTCGATCTTAAATGCCTCTATTTTCACTTGTTTGGCCTTCCAACCAAATGCTACGATCCCTGTAAACGTTGGCATAGTTCTTGATGTTAACTCGTCGATGGGGAAGTTGGGTCTTAGTTGCATCCGCATGGCACTCTCAGACTTGTATGCTTCACAGCGTTATTATAAAACTAGGCTCATTCTCAATGTCAAGGATTCCATGGCAGAGGTGATTGAAGCTGCTTCAGTAGGTAAGGTACAGTTACATTTATGGCTTAGTATTTTAGCACTCCACTCACCAGTGACTCGAGTTACCTCACTGGTTTGAATCTACTTTAACGACTTTAAGTTTTATTAACATCTATCTTTAGGGGTGAATTTAAGCATTTAAAAAATAATAAATTTTTATTATAAAATATTTATTACATTAGAGATACAAAAATGTAATAAATATTGTCTTTTTCAATCAAAGTATATTACTTTTAAATGCTTAAATTAGCTATAAAATTTAGATTATTTTTATATTAGTCTTTAAATTTTTTTTATCATAAATTAATTCTTACCAAAGACTAAAATAGTGACAAAATGAATTTGAATGACTAATTTGGTGGCAAATTAAATCTCTAAATAATTAATTTAGAGATATTTTTTGTTTATCTTTGAAGGATTAATTTGGTTAAAAGTTAAGTTTTTGAATAATTAATTCGACAGTAAAGTTATTAAAAGACTAATAATTTAGAAGTTAATTTTGAAAGATTAACGTAGTGACACAGGAGGCTTATGAATTCATCACAACTCTTAAACTTCAAATCTCGTTTGGTTAATTTAATTAATATTTCGCTTGATTTCATTCATGCAGGTTTGGATTTGATAGAAAATGGGAAGGTCAAAGCCATCATAGGGCCCCAAATTTCGAAGCAGGCCAACATTCTTATTGATGTGGGACTCAAATATCAGGTTCCTATTATATCATTTTCAGCTACCAGCCCTTCTCTAAGTAGCCCTCAAAGACGAAGTCCTTATTTTTTTCGAGTGGCACAGAATGATGCAGCTCAAGTAAAAGCCATCTCAGCAATTGTTCAAGCTTTTGGATGGAAGCAAGTGGTTCCCATATACTCACAAGGCATATATGAGGAGGAACTAATACCTTATATGACTAGAGCATTACTAGAGGCAAATGTATCTACTCCTTATCAAAGTGCAATCTTCCCTTTAGCAACCAACCAACAGATTCTCCAAGAGCTTCATAAATTGAAAATGATGTCCAATAGAATCTTTATTGTGCATGTGTCACTTAAATTGGGTTGTCGTTTGTTCACAATGGCAAGAAACATGGGAATGATGAAGCAAGGCTATGTTTGGATCATGACCACAAGGATGAGTAATCTTTTAACCTTGAAGAATTCTTCAATTATTGATTCAATGCAAGGGGTCTTAGGTGTGAGTAGCTACTTTCCAAAGACAAAAGAGCTTGAAGATTTTGATGCTAGGTGGAAGAAAAAATTTCAACAAGAATATCCTAGCATCGTTGACACTCAAATAAATGTTTTGGGTCTATGGGCCTATGATGCTGCAACAGCACTAGCTATAGCGATTGAGAAAGTTGTGCTCACAAATATGAGATTCCAAAATACAAATGCTTCAAACAATGCAACAAAATTTGGAGATATGAGGCTCTCTCAAATTGGTCCAAAACTTAGGGAAGCGTTACCCACGATCAGATTTCAAGGCCTTGTAGGGGAGTTCAGTTTTGTCAATGGAGAAGTAAATTTATCATCTTTTCAGATAATTAACATCAATGGTGATGGGAAAAGAGTGGTTGGATATTGGACACCACAAAATGCACTACAAAGAAATATGGATTCCACAAGCATGGGTGCTTATTCTATCTCTAAGACCAATCTAGGACCAATTATTTGGCCAGGGGATTCTTCCTCTACCCCTATAGGCTGGGATGAATATGAATTAGCCAACACCAATTATTTGAGGGTAGGAGTTCCCTTTGATCAATATAAAAGGTTCATTGATAAAAAAGGTGACCAATATAATAACACATTTGTTCTTGTGGGTAGCTACAGCATTGATGTTTTCAACTACGTAATAGGGACGTTACCGTACAAGGTTCCTTACGAATTTGTCTATTTTGCCAACTATTATGACCCTTTCCACCCAGGTTTAATCTACGATAACTTGATCAAGCAAACTTATCTTGGGGTAACTTATCTTTCATACTTGAGTATTTTTGAAATATTCAATTCTACTTTTTGTTTGTCAACAGATAAAATCCATTCTATAACCTCATGCCAAAATTGCTTTTCTTCATTCATTCGAAATTTTGTTCTGCAGATATACGCATATATATACACGTATGATTTTCTACTCGGTTAAGATTTTTCATATCGGTTAAAAAATATGAGTAGAATACTCCTTATAGTAAAGCCTCCTTTTATAGGTTAGCTTTTAGAAATGAGTTAAAACTAATTTTTTAATATATAATTTACATGCACTAAAAAATGAGAAAACAATTTGACCAAATAATCCATAAACAATTGCTTTAAATATGAATTGTTGGTATCTGGTTTTGGACAGAAATATGATGTGGTGGTAGGAGATATAATGATCAAGGCTAATTGGTCCATATATGTGGACTTCACATTGCCGTTTACCGAGAGTGGTGCAACTTTTATAGTGCCAACAACAAAACTAAGTAACAAGACAAAGGCTTGGATTTTCTTGAAGCCCTTGACATGGGAACTATGGCTCACAACCGGTTGCTTCTTTGTGTTCATTGGCTTTGTGGTTTGGGTGCTCGAACACCATGCCAATGAAGATTTCAGAGGATCTCCCTCCCATCAAGTCAGCACTAGCTTTTGGTTTTCCTTCTCAACATTAGTTTTTGCACAGAGTAATAATTTCATACTTTCTCTTCTTTCTACTGCCTTCTGTCCTTTTTATATGAACTTTGAATTTTGCTGACCAATGCTCTTAGATCATTAGTTAAGAAACTGTTAGAAAGCTTCTTATAAACAGTATCAAAGGAGCATATTTGTAACTCTTTCATTCTCATTTTATCTAAGGTGTTAAATTTCACAGGGGAGAGGGTCCAGAGCAACTTGGCTAGGTTTGTGGTGATCATATGGATTTTTGTAGTGCTTATACTAACACAGAGTTACACAGCTAATTTGGCCACGTTAATGACAGTTCAACAGCTAAGACCAACTGTGACAGATGTGAGTCAGCTACTACAGAATGGGGACTTTGTAGGATATCGATATGGGTCTTATTATACTTACGAATCTTTAATACAAATGGGCTTTGATAATAGCAAGCTTAAGTTGTATAGTACTGCAGAAGAATGTGATCAACTTCTAACTTTGGGAAGCCCAAATGGAGGCATTAGTGCTGCTTTTGATGAAATCCCATACATAAAGGTTATTCTATCAGGTTACTGCTCCAAATATACCACCATTGGACCAACATACAAAACTGAAGGGCCAGGCTTTGGTTTTGTAAGCCAAACTTCTTATGTGACATTTTTTCGCAATATTTGTCTCACACCCTTAATTTTTTTCACACTATCTTACATTTCACCTTTTATAGTAAAAAAATGAAAGAAAATCAATCCAGTGTGGATTAACTTCCAATAAGTACTTTTGTGAATTAAAATCAACTTATGCTCTTTTATTTATTTTTTAAGCTTCCTTTTTATATAAAATGCATGTTGTGAAGTAATGTAAAATGTCAAGGGTGTAAGAGAGAGATTACTCTTTTCTTCCAATTAATTTGTATATGAATTGCATGCATGCAGGCATTCAGAAGAGGTTCCCCTTTGGTAGCAGATGTTTCAAGAGCTATCTTAAATTTAACACAGAATAATCAAGATACCATGAAAGCAATTGAAGATAGATGGTTCAAGAACGAAACCCATTGTATACAACCCTCTGAAGAGGATAGTTCCTACAAACTTGACCTTGAAAGTTTCCAAGGACTATTTCTCGTTGCGGGTTTGGCTTCATCATTTGCCCTTATAGTACACTATTCTATGATACTTCGTGGCCACAGGAGGGTCTTCATTCAGTTTGATTCAAATGAATCATTTTGCAAAAAAATCTATACCATGTTTAGAATCTACTTTCAAAAAGATGCCAGAATTGTTCCTGATAAAGATATATGGATGCCTGAAGTGAATTACGTAGCCCCACCAAATCCACCAAGGAATTTAGAACCATATGCTTGAAGCATGATACACCCTATTATACCAGGCAAATTTCCTTGATTGTAAATCACTTGATACAAACATGCTCTTTTCCTTTCTACCCCTAACTGCACCTCATGCAATACTCAGGAAGATCCAAATCCTAGTCAAATGATGGATCCTATTAAATAATTGTTTTACATCAATTCTTGGCTCTTGCACACTCATTTTCACTCCTTTAATTTTAATATCATTAGCTAGTTCTACATAATATATACTAGCAGCAAGTAAATATTACCATAAACTTTGAAAGAGATTTCCTAGTGCCTCTTATGGTTTTTCTAGTGCCAATTGCCACCAATACATTCATAACTATTATTAGCAAAGGCTTATGCACCTCTACATTCATAGTCCAATTAGTCCAACTGGCTAAGCTAATAGCTATTTGGCAGAGACTCCTGCACTCTCTTCAAAACTACTTTAACATTTAGAGAGATGGAAAGAATATTGTAGATCTATACAATTTAAGGTAGATACAGATGAAAAGAGCATGATTCACTCGTTGCAAAACTTTCCTAGCCTCTTATTCTTTTATACACAAGTAGAAATTTACATGGATATCACCTCAAGTACTGTTCTAGACACTCTTTCAATTTTTGAAAAGTCACAGGTTTTGACACAAATGAGTCCATACCATGTGCATAACATTCTTCAGCACTCTCTGACAGTGTGTTTGCTGTCATCTGCATCAATATGAGATAATTAGAAAATGATTAGTTTACTGCCAAAGGATGTGTTTATATACAGAAAAGTTCGTTTCAATATTAAGAAAATTTGTAAGCTTTTTGGAGATGACAAATCCAAAGCAACAAGAATTTTGTTAGTACTAGTTTTGAGAACAAACGTGCGAATGGGTTATGGCTCAATTGATTAAGCAAGATGCAACTCAGATGCACAAATGTCAAAGCAAGAAAATCAAGAGCCCCGGAGAAACTATAAGAAAATAGAAATCGTCATGTTCAGCACACCATGCTACATAAAAATGCGGCATGGCATTTTTTTTCTGTAATAGTTGTTTAAGGCTTATTTCGGATAACTTTTTTCACTAGCACTTGTACAGAAGAAAATAAAAAGGCATAATAAATCAAACTTCTTTCACAAGTTAAAATAACTTATACACCTCAACTGTTTTAGAAGTTCTCCCATCTAATTTCTCTAAAAATTAAGGTGTATAACTTGATTTTAACTTATAGGAGAAATTTGATTCATTTAACATTTTTGTTTTTTATCCTTTGTATTTATCAAGAAGTTGACCTAGACTAAGCCTTAATAACTGAATATAGTGCTTGAATTTGTTTGCAGATTTTAATATAGTGACCTATATAAATTACTATATAATAGTTGTTAACATGTTGGAGTTCGTCTTCTAGATTAGATGTAGCCAATCACACACAAGCCGATTTACTCACTGCAATAATGTGGATCCGGCTTTTAGGTTGTATAGAACATTCATGTGAAGCTGGTAAAGATTGTTCAATTCCAGCTTTTCTTGCAGCATCCCAATTGCCTGTTTCCTCATAAGAACGAATCAGCTTCGTTGTTTGAAGACCATTCATAACTGGCATGAAAACATCCTGTAAATTGCAAGCACCAAACAATTATCAGAAACTAAAGTTTCTATTCAGAGCATGACCTCAAAATTATTTACGTCAATAAGCACATTGCTTACAAATTGTTTCAAGGTTATCATCATTCATATCCTAAAGAAGACTTGCCAATTTTTTTTTTCAGAGAAAAAGGCATTGATTTATATAAAGACAATGCATCAACATAAAATTTGAAATTCAATAAATTACCATCAGAATTATGTCGTAAGTATGGCGCTGAACAGCACGTACAGCTTCCACTCCATTATGCACAACATCCATGCTATAACCTAACCTTTTCATCATTGACTGTGTCACCATGACATTGATCTTGTTATCTTCAACAAGAAGAATCTTAGGCTTTAATGTGCATTTGGTTACTTCTGATGATGTGTTACTGCTGCTAACTACACTTTGGGAGGTTATATCTGTCTTCACTTGTCCCTGACATGTTGTTTGAGGCTCACTTGGCATTGTTCCTAGAGTTATTGCCTCCTTAAGTTGAGAAGATTCTGCACTACCATTCCGTAACTGAGCACACGCCTTATCTTGATTCTGTTTGTTTCTATTAACTAAATTTTCATGCTTTGTTTCTGGGCTGTGACTTGATGAACTTGTTGATTCAGACATCTCTGGAGGATCAACAACAACTGAAGAAGCATCCTCAACTGCACTAGTCCCTTTTGATCTTATGTCGCTAGTGGGAAATGAGTAAGAATTCTCCGGAAACCCATTAAACTTATTTGAGCTTCTGAAACCTGGTAATATATTTTGGGGCCTGGTAGGTCCATTAGAAGAGAAGAGAGAGCCCAAAGTGCGTGGTTGGAATTGGAAGAAACCCTCTGTTGCATCATCATCATCATCATCATCATCATCATCATTATTTTCCACATCTGAGAGTTCATCTGGGTCATCAGAATTTTCACAAGTGGTCGAAACCTTGTATGGAAGTATGAATGTAAAGGTAGAACCACAATGTTCTTTGCTAGACACAGTTAAACGACCCCCCATTAACTCAACCTGTTTCAAGTGCAAGAAACGTTTACAAGGTGTAACATGTAGTTAGTATCATAAAGAAAATCTTGCTAAAGTTGGTCCATAGAAATGACGAAGATACCTATACAATGCGAAATAGCATCTTTTTTTTCTCTTTAAGACAAAAATCAATTCTTTTAGGCCAAGTTATGGAAAAAAAAAATGAGGTCTCAGAAATCCTTAAATGAAAATTTAGTAACATCGTCATTCAAATAACATATGATTGTCTATGTTATTTTTTATCTAAGAATTTCTACTTCTGCCAAAATAAGAGGGGGAATAAAAAGCTTACCAATTGTTTGCATATTGCTAGTCCTAGCCCCGTGCCCCCATACTTTCGAGCATGGTCTGCACTTACTTGCATGTACCTTTTAAATAAAGTAGGTATAGCCTTTTCTGTCACATTGCAACATGTAAAAAGTTAAGTTCTTTTCAAATTTTTATGAATACAAAATAGAATTAATCCTATCTATAACCAAATGAAGGATAGAAATCATATTTCAGGAATTTATATAGTTGTCATCACATACCTGGTATTCCAATTCCTGTGTCATACACATCACAACGTATCCACACTGTTGTTTCAGTTGAATGAGTTTGCTCCTCAGTATCTCCATTCATTGAGCATTCACTTTTAACTGAAGATCTACATTCATCATTTAATTCATGATTTTGGCTGAGATGGTCATTGTGTTTCTGACCATCGTGACATTTTTTATCACTACCACTTCGAGGTGTTGATACATGTTTTTCTTCTTTCACCCCATTTTCTGAAATAGTTGATCCATCTGTAATCATCTTTTGACTTCCTTCTTCTGCTTTGGCAAAAGGTGGCTCTGAAACAACATAAAGGTTTATACCAACTTTGCCTTCATGTGTAAACTTGACTGCATTGCTGCAAAATATTAGAAATAATAAATGTAAAGCAAAAGATAATCAGAAATAAATTCTTTTGTAGTAATAAAATTTTTGGTTGTCAATATACTTTCAACAATGAATAGTCTATGAATTTACAACCAAACACTTCAAATGTTTCCATTTCGTAGACTATATTGGGAACGTTTGGAAGAGCTTTTGAAAAGCTCTTTTGACTTCCATGAGCTTGTTTTAATTTATTTTTAATAAACTTCCCGGTGTATTTTATTAAAATAAGCTCTTTGTAACTTTTCTAATAAACTTAATGATCAAATTTATGCCATAAGCCCTTATATGATATGAGCTTATTGAACAACCACTTCATTAAGATGTCTATCCAAGCATACCCTCAATCACATAAAGCTTAATACCTGACTAAATTTGTGAGAATCTGTCGAATCCTTAAAACATCTCCAATGACCTGCAATGTTGCATGGAGAAATTTAGTGTAAATTTCATAGCTATCAGGTGAAAATATGTCATTGCATTCGAAATTCAGGTCAGGACCCGAGTCCTGCATAATGCTTTTGCATTTATCAGTCAACTACTTCAATAGCACTTGGGATTTATGAAAATAATCATTATCTGTTGAGGTACATCATAGAAGTTGTCCCGAATTTATGCATAATAACAATGCCGAACCTTTGATATCAAAGCATGGAATTGTTACTTAAGTTCTCACCTCAACAGGTATATCATCTGCCACATTTCCTTCCAAGGTTAACATTTTCTGCAATGATGCTGCAGCTGTCTGGAGGACATGCTTTACCACCTCTCTCGGCCGGAATTTGGTAGCTTCCAATTTCATAACTCCTATAGAAAACACAGGTTTATGGGGACGGGAATAAATTTAAATGATCAGAAAATTAGAACCCATTTTGTCTTCACTATACATAGCTAACTTCCATGTTCCTCTCTGTGTGATTAAAATTCGTCTTTGAATAACTGTTATAAGTTTGGATATCACTGATAATAAGCAATGGTAGAAGACAAATTTCTAACCTGACTCAACCTTGGAAAGATCAAGTATGTCATTTATAAGTTGAAGAACCAAATCTCCTGAAGATATCATGACATTCAAGAGCTGTCTTTGCTCCCGGTCAAGTTTAGTGGTGGAAAGAATGTCAGCCATGCTAACAACCCCAGAAAGTGGAGATCTTATCTCATGAGACATTGTTGCCAGCATTTGTTTTGCTCTCATTGTCTCCTCTATTGAAAGGGAAGGGGAGAAGAATAAGTTTCTTGCTGCCAAAGTAACAAAAGTATAACTCAAAAATTAAAGATAAGGGTAAGTGATTAAACCTGTAATGTGAATGGTTTTATTAAGTTCTGTTTCCTTGGCTTTCTGAACTGCAATCTCTTCCCTAAGCTTTGCCATTCTTTCTCTTTTTCTTACCTGCAGTTTGTAAAAATATATAAATTTCACCAGTGCAAACACAAGATTGG